CTATATCGTAATATCGTACTTAAATATTTATATCGACATTTATAGCCAGAAAGGACGTAGTTGTGCTTAGGCTGTTTGCAACAAGAGACGTTTAGAACAATTATATCTATATCGTACTTAAATATTTATATCGACATTTATAGCCAGAAAGGACGTAGTTGTGCTTAGGCTGTTTGCAACAAGAGACGGACATTTCTTTAGAACAAGAATTTCTTACGGGTATTGACGATAATCAATATTGGATAACATATAAATAATTTTATACAATATTCTTAATATTTTTCTTGATGTTTTATAATTTTAATTAGAATGATTTGGATTCGATTTCCAATATGTTCTAAATTTCTGCTCGCATTAATTTTTATTACAAGAAAAATTACATAGAGAACATTAAATTAAATTCCAAATTTCATAAAAAAATATTTTTTTGTAACTTAGAATTATTTTTTATAATTTATAATTATTTTCTGTAACTTATAATTATTGTATCCAACATTGATAACTTTGAACAATGTTTTCGGCCATAAATTGGGTTAATAATATATGATTCTAACGATTTATAATTTTCCTTAATTTACAGCATAAATTTTTAAAAATTAATATTTATTTGTTAAAGTGTGTAATAGCAATGCTGAGTCTCTTAATTAAAGCAATTTACAGTAATTGAAAGCTAGATAGCTAGCAATTGACCCAATATGTGATCCGAGAATGTAGCTCAAATTTTTTTCGACAATTAATTCAGCGCTTAAATATCGATAAGCCTATCGTAATACTTATGCGTAATGGTCTTTCTCTGTGTGTGTCTCTTTTCTCTCTCTCGTTCGCCCTTTCACCCCGAACTCGTGCTCAGCTGCTTGATTAACGAGCTGACCGCGGGAGGGTAAGTCATCAACGTCACTCGGAGGAAGTTCCGTACTGCAGCTCGGTTCACACGCTTCTTTTACGAGCTTCCTGCTTTCGGTAGGGCGCACATTTACCCCTTAAATACACACCGAAATTCAGTCGCATCGGCACGTCGGCAAAAATCCACGACGACATATAAGGCACATCATCAACCCATTCCATGTTTCAATGACAAATCTGTTTCACAATAATTTTTTAACGATCATTTTTGCTTCTATAACGTATTAATATGCCATTTAATTGTGAAAATTTATATTCTGTTAATTCCATTGTACATAAAATCATCTTGCGAGAGCAGTACATTTTCTTGACAATTTATATATATATATATATATGTGTAAAATGATTTTTTCTAATATTTGCATTGATGTATCCTCTACCTTAAACATTAATGAATAAAAGCAGATTTGAAATAACAAATAATCGCTAAAAGAAATCATTTAAGTAACAAACTTACGATTGATAATTTGTTTGTTTATAATGCTTTTATTTTTGTTTTATTATTTTATGACACTCATGTATACATATATATGGTACACTATATTCAATTATATCATGCACTAATTAAAATCCACAATCAAACTTAAATATGTTCCCCTTTGTATTGCTTCAATAATTTATTGCTTTTTATATTCCAGTATATATATAGTTCCATTAAATATATCAATAAAAAAAACGTACATTGTAGAAATATCGCCGTGTTTCATATATTTATGCATGTTGTACACCGAGATAAATAAAAAGTTAAATAACGTTGCCCTTTTTTGGCTTATTAATTAAAAATTATCGTTAACAAAGATTGATATACTTTTCATATCCAGATTTTTAATTCCATGTTTTTAACATTTACAATATTTTTTAATTTTTACACAAACATATTTCTTAAAAATTAAAAGCAAGTATGGCTAATAATTGCAATCCATATTTCATAGAAATTTCATCAATCTCAATACATATAAAAACTGTCTTTTAATGTTTAGTTTATCTTTTTACAACAAACATGAGCTTTTATCTAAAAATCTATACATTGTTTTTCAATCCGTGAAATTCGTGTAATCGTTGACATATTGGGCAACGTTGATACGAAAAATAATTAAAAATCATCGTGCATGTGTCGACGGAATGACAGGCGCACGATCGTAGATCGAGACCATAGAGACGAGAGCGTAGTGCTTGACTATATAGGGTTCACATTGGCAAATGGCATGAGGATATTCGAAGGTACTCCGTCGAATTGGACTTCTGATCTACGCTGTTTTCTAGATACGTCGGTGATACTCGCATCGAGAGAAAACAGAGTCGTTTCTATAGCCAATCTTACACCGCGCCGAACCCTATCATTACCGTCACGGAACACACACCTACCCCATCTCCAGATTACATGAAGCGGCAGGTAAAGAACCTATGATTTTCTGCAGAGCAAAAAAATTGTAAATACATAATGGAATCATAAAGATATATTTAATTATTTTTTTTTTTTTTATTCTAGTATTTTTTAATAGTTTCTTTTATTCTACAATTTAAGAAAAATAGCATAATATTATTACTAAAATAAATTTCTTGAGAGATTATATATATAACAACTCTAATCTTTTGAGGTGAATAATTAATATTAGTGATTAATATCTGATTTATTGAATTTCTGATTATTGTTTCCGCAGGGATCCATTGATAGTCAGTTGGATCTCATCAGTGTTCAAGGAGGACGTTTATGCTCCGAGAGGAAACCCAGTCTCACGAGATCTCAGACGGATTCTAACATCACTTATATGAGCGACGAAATGCCAGAAGCACCAGGCTCAGCATGTTACATTACCAAAGAAGGCGATATTGATTTTCAAGTCGTCTTGAAGGTGTATATATATACATATATATATATTATAATAAATTTTCTTAATTTTGTGTCGTCTCGGTCACACATTTTATTGTTTAGGCGATACATTCCGTTGCGTTGCGAGATAATGTTTCTTGTACACTACGAGTCTGCGAAATTATGCTGAATTTAATTGAACTTTTAATGGACATGGGAGTGATGAAGCATTGTCTTCGGGAAGAAGCCACCGGCAGTAACGCAGGCAATAAAATCAGACTATTTAAATAATTATATTATTTAAAACGTAGAATTTTATATGGCAATGTCTGCTCTCTACTTTGCATCTTTAAATAATTGGTTGTTTTGCATTCTTTTATTAGAACGTAGAAAATTAAATTGTTTAATTATTATTGTATAACAAGGATAAAATGAAAGATCCATGCTAATTCATTTTTATAGGATCTGGTACAGGAATTGACAACAAATCGGAAACTGGGAAGAAACAGGATTCGCCAATGGGGTTAAATCAACAGGAATGTAAGCACGATGAAAAAGGCAAGCCGACAGCACACAATCTCCTTATGAATTGCGTAATTAGAGTGTTGAAGCACTTAGGCTGTCCGCACGGTTGCTTGGACGGAGTGCGTGGGCCTCAGGCCGATATCTGTCGCTCTCAGGGCCAGACCATCCTGACTAAACTGCATCGCGCGAGTTCCCGCCAATTCTCGCGATTTTTAAGAACGATGATACGCGAACAACCGCTGACGGAAATTATGGATTTCTTTCATGCGTATGTTGGATACTGCGTTGATCCGAGTTCGCTGTTATCGCCGCTCAGTGAGTAAATATTAAATGTGAATTAAATATGTATATTAATTTAGAGGATGTATTAGGAACTCTTGCATTCTTTACAAAAAAAAAAAAAGTAATTTTTCTCTTAATGCAAGCTTATTTTCTCTCGTGTTAATTCCTCATCTTTGTTTCAGACCAAAAACGAATATCGAGCAAGTCGCCCGATGCAACCTGTCAAAGTGGATATGCGACGAATTTCGGCGCCGGCATGATCGGTTCCAGTGCCAGTGGAACCGGAGTTGGTACCTCGGGCATCTCGGGCGGAAACGTCGTTGCGATGGCCGGCGGCGTCGCGACGTCGTACAACGTCGGCGGTTACGGAGCTCGTGGTATCGAAGGACAGATCATAGCCTACGTCTTCAAGGTCTTGGTCACGCGTCTTGTCGACTCCGCGAAGCAGATGAAGGCGCAAGAGAACATCAGCCTCTATTGCGATGTGCGACAGTTGATGACATATGTCAAGGAGGCGCACGGTAGCGTTTTCCGGCGCGTTGCTCTCAGCGGTATTCTGGATTCCGCGGATCGGCCGAATAAACGGTGTAACAGCAACGTGCAAACGACACGTGTCATAAGGTGAATATAGATGCTTTAAACATCTTAATATTAAGTACAAGAATAAAAAATAATCTCGGAAAAGTTTAAAATTACCGTCATTTTATGTGTTTAATTTTTATTTGTTGTTTTTAAAACTATAATATTTTCAAATAATCTTTTTTAAAAGATGAAGTAGCATGTAACTTTATGCAAGCAATAATGATTGCAAAATCATATTAGTGTTTTAAGATTAATAATACAATATTTGAATAAATAGAACATAATTTTGTTTATAACTTACTGAAAAGCAATAAGCTATCAGTAAAAAAACTCACGGTTTTTTTTTACATATTTTTATTATATTTCGCAGACACATTCATCAATCAGATTTAGAGGAACATGCGGATATCGGGGGAGATACGTGTTACACCGTTGATGACAGAGGCACGCGAAAGTTTCTCTTCAAAAAGAGGAGCACATCGTCCACCTGTGCTGTAAATACACTAATAATTATAATTGTACAATAATTACAGCATTATCCATTATTAAAAAGAGGTTTGATTGGTGGTAGGCGGGGTCGAATTTGCAGAGCCTCCTTGAAACAGAACTGAGCGAAGAAAGCGTGAAAGTCAGTCAAAGCCCGTTAGGTAATCTGCGTAAGAAGCATCACGTGCTGACGCCTCGACAGAGCGAACGTAATTTAGGTATCGGCGAACCTTATCTCGGGCCTGGAAAAATGCGGAAGTCGACTAGATTTCAGATCGGCGGTATCGGTGAGCAGTAGCGGCAGAAATTGCACGTATCATTTACGGTGTACTGTGAGCCGTTATACTGAATCGTTCTGTGATCGGTTTTAGTCAATTGGTTTCGGAAGGAGTATAGTCGGACTGATTCTACCGATAGCCATGAAAGTAGCGAATCACCCACAGACGGCAGCTTTGTTAGGCAACCCAGTTTCCATTACGGTCCTTATCGCAGCGCGTCACGCACCGGTCGCGGGTAGGATGGTCTATTTAAAGACGCTTATTTATCCGCTCTTGTGCGCCTATATAAAAAAAATATTATATTATTTCGAGGAAGAAAAATATTAGATTATATACGTGCAATTCTTTCCAGAGTCAGCCTAACTTTTTTAAAGGCAAAACGTCGGATGGAGGATCAGCTGAATAAAATCGGTTTCGGAAAAAGCAAGAAAAAAGAAAGCATGGAAGAGACGCCTGGCAGTTGTAAGAGAATAGATTTATACTTTCTAGTTTTATTATTACTTTTTTATTACTATTTTATGTATTATTGCTGTGTGTAAATTTTACAGCGTCGCAAAATCTCGAATTAAATAATGTTAATTAGCTATAGAGATTTTCTATATGTGTCTTTGATTAGATTTCAGTCGGAGAAATTCAATGGAGCTCGGCGAGGCTTGCAGGGAATCCGAGTTTGTTGTCTTGAAGGAAAGAAGATTGGTACCTCGTGCTGCGGTATTCAACGGAATGTTACGATTTTCCTTTCTATTAGAAACATGCCAGCCGGGCTCAGTTCCCGATCCTCATCTAATGGCATCGCTCTTGGATCTTGTAATAATTATTCTATTCTGATTTTGAGAATTATTTTGTTTTTCTATGTAACATGATATAGAGTACGGGAATATGTACTGTGTGATTACAGCCGTATGCTCCGGTAGTATCTCGCGCTTGCTTGATACTGGAATGTGCACACTTGGTACATCAATGCAACAAAGGCCACTGGCCTGCGTGGATGAAGCACAATTTTCCCATGTTCCGACCGTCTGTGCCGATAAATAATCGAAACGCCTCCACCGCGCTTAGACGCGTTCATATATTGCAACGCACTGCAGGAAAATTATTTTATCAATGGGCAGAGGTACTTAAAAAAAAAAATTGCACTTTTTTCAATTAAAATATTTTTTGATGGAATGATATATAAAATTGTGATTAAAATAGGCTATAGGAGCACGCTTGGAAGAATTCTTAGCTGAGGATAAACATAATATGGAACAAGTAACCAATATAGTATCCGACGAAAGCAAACAGAGAGATTTAATTCTGGAAGACGAAGAGGAAGATTTTCTCGATGAAGGTAATCGTTTTTTGCATAGATATTACAAGATTATTTGAGCACAGTCACAAACAAAATACAATAAAAATTTAATAAATTTTTAGCTAGCATAAACAGTTATGGATCCCAATGCCCCTTCGCGTTGCGTCACGTTGCTTGTATTTTGCTCCTGGAAGTAACAGCATTCTTAAGAGAGACTTATCAAATATTACCAAAGTCAAGTAAACTGCTAACAAAGGAACGTCACCCACCTTGGGAAAGAATGTATAGTCGAGAGGCGAATCGACGTTGGAGCGTGGCTTTATCATCTATGGGTCATTCACAAGCATCTGCGCAAAGTCTTCAATCTATTGCCGGTGAAGTTATTAATCGTGAAGGTATCGGTTAGTATAGAAAAAAATTATATGTATATAAAATTACTAAAACGGGCACTATATCTTAGATTTAGATATCTCATTTATTTAAATGAGTTATAAAATACTTGACATAAATATAAATTAATTTTGTAGCAGAGCGTAAAATTAGTTTTGTTCTGTACGAGCCTGATAATGAGTCCGAGGGTAGCAGCAAATCGACGGTTACGATCCAAGGGGAAGAAGCCCAAAACATTGAAAAAGAAAAAGCGAAAAGGATGCCAGCACCTCCAAGTAGACCGTTCCTCCTTCGTCGCAGTCCTGCTGGAACTGGTTCGTTTAAAAAAAGGAGCCTTAAACTTCGTCGCAATACTAAAGAAGGCAAAGACACAGAGTGTGAGGCATGTAAGTGAAATTTTAACAAAAATAACAAAATAAAGAATAGTACAAATATTATTAATTTCCTAATAAAAAATTGATATATAATTTACAAATAAATGTTTTAAAGCGTAGACTATGTAATATTATTGGAAAATTAATTTTAGTTACTAATTAATTTTTCGATTATATATTGTTAATCGCCAATCATGTATATTTAGTAATGTTAGTTGATCATGAGATTTTATTTGTAGATACAGTAAAACGAACAGATTCGATTCAATCTAAGAGGAAAGTGAGCTCGCTTTCCGATAGAAGCGACACATCCGAACCCGGTGCTGCCGGCGAAGTTAGCGGCGAGGAATCACCGGGTATTCTCAGCGACGATCAACCACCAGAGAGCCCGAGCGATAGCAACGAAACTGACGAAACCAACAAGAATTTCCCGTGGATGAAGGTGCTCGTACAGCTCGCCAATTCCTTCAATTTCTACTGCTCCCATCAGAATTTCTGCCATCCTTTCTGTCATCGGCGACAGATGCGTGCTAGCAGCAGGTTGGTAAAGTCCGTGAGAAAGATCTACGGCGAGAAATTTGGCATTTTGAACGGAACGGGTTTATTGGACGTCGATACTGATAAGAAGGAAGACAGCAAGAAAGACAAACGTAGCCGCAAGGTATCCGATCAAACCAGTACGCAGGTTTCGCCTGTCAGAAGAAAAGACAGCGTGGGACGCAAATACAAGTAACTTGGAATTATGCTACAATATATTTGTTGATTGAATAAATATTGAATAAATATTGAAAAATATTTTCAATTATTTAAATATTTTTATTAAAATGTAATTCACGATTAAAAATTTTAAACTGAAAATTTGTGTAAATAACTATGGTTTTTACAATTATATTTAGTGCTAATTTATTTAATATTTATACAGAATAGAAAAAAATCTTGATGGTTCTCAATCCGGTCGATCAACTCAACGGGATTCCTCAAAAGATCTCGCAGAGCAAGATTCTGAAAAAGGCAAAGAATCTTCGAAAAAGATCATAGCGGACGATGATGTTGAAGAGGATAAAGAACTACCGCCGATTTTAAAATACGTGAAGACTCAAGTAAAGGATGCTTTTCACGCACCTTTGGCTACTTTAATAAAAGGAGCGGTTGTCATAACGGAAGACTTGTTTGTGGAAGTGCTGCCTGTCGCGTGGGAACTCTTATTGGAATCCAATCAAGAAGTTGCCGCATCCGCCGCAGCACTTTTCATAATATCAGCCGTGCGAGCACCGAATCAGGCCAGCGAGCTGATGCACAAAGGTCTTCAGCACAGTAGCAGCAGTGTACGCATCAACGCTATTTTGCGGTTTCAAGTTCTATGGAAATTGCGATACCAGGTATGGCCGCGGATGGAAGAGGCGGCACATTTAACTTTCAAAGTGCCTCCGCCGGGAATAGAATTCACTCTGCCATCGCCAAAGATTGGAATAGAATCCTTACCGGTGGTTGATCCGCCTTGGATGCCACAAGTGAAGACTAAGGTGGAGGAAGTCACCATCAATCAGGAACGTCATGTAAGTAATTATCGCAAACGATGTTTTAGGTTCTCTATAAGATTAACGGATTGCTTTTGTTTTAGAGATCTTTGGTGACGGCGACGAAGACGAGAAAGAAACAGCAGACCGAACTGATCAAGAAAGCTCTTCAGGCGCAGGATGATAAAAAGCGGGAAGAAAGAGAGAACTTTCTGATAACGACGATACCAATTACCGTCCAGGCTGCTTATGAACCCAGTCCAGTAGGAGATGATCATGACGAAGGTACGTATTTATTTTGTCAGAATGTATCAATATTCATTGTTAGCGACGTTTTTTTTTTCAATGCAGGTAATGTGGGAGATGAGGATGCAGGTGAGACAGTCCCGAGGAATACGTCGCATCACAGCCAGTCGGCTCTCTCTTTGTTTCCCTCGTCGTTATGTTCAGCGATCGTTCAAATTATCAATCTTTTGGATGATCCAGCAGTATCCGATGATGGAAATGCCGTATATGAAGTGGCATATCAAGTAAAACATAATTTATAAATTTGTAAACTATGATTATATATATATACACATATTATTTAAAATATTTAAAATATTATTTATTATTTAAAATATGGTTGAAGTTTATATTATATATCAGGTGATCTGGAGTTGTCTGGTAGAAGATAGCGCTTTGTTTCTTCGATATGTGCTGGAACGTCTGACGAGAGAAAAACAAGAGTTGATGTTCAAGATTTTAAGACATCTTATTAGATTTGTACCCAAGTTACCACAGCAAGCTGCATTCGCACTGTATAATTATATCATTGGATACGTCATGTTTTATGTGCGTTCTCCGCACGAGGAGGGCCAAAAGTTGATTGGAACTGCGCTGTCTATCTTATGGATGGTAAACTGCGTGCATTTTTCGATTTTCTTTACAAATTTTTTATTAATAAGAGATTGTTGACGATAATTCTCTGATATTAGGTTGTACACAGTGTACACGGCATTATGTTTAAAGACCTAAAGCAGATTCTGCGAAAGGAACAATGCGATGCGTCAATTCTGCTTACGGCGAATGTTCCGTCGGCGAAAAAGATCATCGTTCACGGTCCACAGGATCCCGATGCCGGAGAAATACCCTCGCAATTTCCGGTCCAAGAGGATACGCAATTTTGTCAGATACTTCGAGAGTCCTTGGACTTTTTCGGTGTCGAAGAATCGAAACAGCACGAGTACTTCCTCGTGGATTATAAAACGCGTTAGTTCCTTAATTTATCCTTGTTATGCAATAATAATTTCATTATACTAACATCTCATTAAATTCCAGATCAAATACATAATCCGTCGTCATACGTTAGAGATTATTATTTCTTCAAGAGATCTCAATTCCCGCAAATTGAACTCGTTCACATGAAGCCGGAGGACGCATTTAATGCGTTACAACGGCAGGAATTAATGCACAAGTTTGTAGAGATAGGAAAAGTACTGTTGACCTGGGCAATCTTGAAGAATGTTGATATGGTGGTGCAGAGAGTCGTGTTTCTTCACGAAGAACTTATGAAGTTACCATCATTCCCGCGAAAAGCCCTGGAAGCGGATTTGGACCTGTACAAAGGTGGCGAAATCGGAAGAGTGAAGACATTAGTTAACAATTCCGAAGCATTAACAAAGTACTGAATTTGTCATAACTTGCTTCTTGTAATTGTTTCTCCTTCTTCTATCTTTATATTACAGGAGTTAACGTCTCATTAATTCTCGCAGGTATTACAATGGTCCGCAGAAATCTAGTCCAGAGCATAAAGGTTCTAGTCAGAAAAATTACGGTAAAGGCCCGTATTCACCGGGTTTCGATTTCGAAGACGATACTCATACGACAAAGTACATAGAGCACTCGAAAGTTCGACGTTTTTACGATCGAGACAATGAGGACGCTGAGAATTTCCACAAAAACGAATTTAGGAGACCTCGCAATACTTTATTAAATATGGTTGGGGATTTTGTGGCTCGTTGTTCAACTCGTTTGATAGAACTCAACAAGAAGTCTCAGGACGGAAAGAATATCGAGTTATTGGATTCAAAGTGCCATGTGGTAAATTTATCCATTCTTGTAATATATAATTTGCAATACAGTTTATTACTATACAATAAATTTAATGAATAATCAAAATAATTAGTTTTTTAAAAATTAATAAATCATTATAAAGAAATGAATTTTCTTGTAACCAATTTGTCATTTGTCTCGCGAAAAAAATTGATATTTTAAAAAAGATGTTTATAACTGATAATGACATTGTGACGAGTTATCTCGTCACAATGTTATTATCCACGCAATGCAGAGAATTTAATAACTGCAATTGCAAATAATGCGTCTCTTTGTGCAGCGATTAGCCGATATCGCTCACAGCCTCTTGAAGATCTCTCCATATGATCCCACCACTATGGCTTGCCGTGGTCTCCGTAGATATATGAACGATATTCTTCCTTCGACCGAATGGGCGGCCGACGATATGAGACCGGCGTTAACGCTCATTCTCAGGAGATTGGATAAGATTTTTAGTAAAATACACAAGAAAGCATCCGTCAGAAGGAATACCAATTGGGTCGCCGCCAGTAATCTTTTGAAAGGAGTTTACGAGACCTTGTCGAAAAGTCCGTATATCGCACATTTCCAATATCTAAAGACACTATTGAATACTTGTCAGGTAAACGATGAAAGAATTCCTACTATCGGCGAATTTGCTTATCTATTTCAATTTAATCGAATTTTTAATTTTAATTAATCGTCGTCAACTTTTTAGGCCCTGATTGTCGGAGATACTCCACCTGAGGACATAACTTCGGCTTCTGCAGCTGCTGTAATGAGTAAGATACCACCTCCGCATTTCTGCTCGACGGTCTTACGTCTGATCGCATTGCACGTGATATCATTCGGCGAAGGATATTCGTTGGAAAATGTTCTCGGTGGTCAGAGCGTGTTTGCTAACCAGACACGTACCGAGAATGCATTATTGAACTTGTTGATACCATTATTTTTGCGCATTGGGACTGGAAGAAAAGGTAAAAATGCATAATTTATATTATTCAAGAAAGTTATGTTACGAATTATTTGCGTCATCTTACGTTACTGCTGTTTTTAGATGTACCGAAACTGAAGCAATCGGACATCAGTTTTGCTCTAACGGCTGTATTGAACACTCTTTGGCCGCCGAGCATGAAAGCACCGTTGACGGTGCAAAAACCATCGACGGATATAAGAACCGGTAGTCTAACATTTGCCGCGAGAGATCCGAAAACTTTAACAAAAACATCGTTAACGTTATATCAAGTCGCGTTTCTAGGTAAGATTATCAAAAAAAATAATTTAAACAAAGTTTTAGAAAAAAGTTAAAAAAAAAATAACTTATTATATGATTTTTGTAAAATTATTGTTATGTGAATTACATTACATATTTTTTACTGTCGTGAACAATACATGCTTACAATACATATCTGACTGTTTGTTTTCAGCGCTTAAAATAATGACGATATGTTTTGAAACTGAATTGAGAACGGAATGGCCGAAAGTTTTACGCACAATGCGTCTTCTGAACAAGCGTAACGAAGCTTCGATATATCTTTGGAGCTTCATAGAATTCGTGGTAACGCACCGCACGGCCTTGTACATTCAGATGCTTCCGTTCATCGTTTATAAGATCGGACAGGCGCCGATATCCGAGCACGAGCGAAACATGCATAGCATTATACGCGAGAAAATCAACGGCAGCATCAAAGTACCAAAATCTCGGGGAGCGCTGCTGATGGATCTCATTCACGAATTGAAGAATCTGAAAGAGGAAATTGAAGATCGAAGATTCGGTTAGTATCTTAGCAAAATAAAATAATTTAATTAATGATTACGTATTTGAGTTTCTAGTAAAGAATTTACTGCATTATTTGTATACAAAAAAATTAGTTTAATACATTAAAAAAGGCATTATAGGAAAAAGCGTTATTTTGTTGTTTATTGATCAAAATGCACTTTTGGAATCAGACCTGCTTTTTTGATCTATCATCGTACTTATTTCATAAACGCGTACCATATTTCAAAAATACGCGTACCATTCATATAAATCACGGATAATTTAAGTTAATCGAAAATTCTCGATCAATTATTTTATAATTTTAATATACAGATGAAATGCAACCGGAACCTAAGAGAAGCGTAGCGGACATGCATCCGATAGCCGAAGGTCAACCGCGTACTCAAAGGCCGTCTCTTCTGATGGATCTTCTGACCGGCGATCTAGGATCTAGAGCTCACATAAATCGTACACCCTCCGAGACTCTGGTGTCTCATTCTACAACAGCCCAATTGCAACCTCATTCGGCTCAATCCAACTTCGGTAGTACTGTCAAAACAATGCAATCCAGTCAAGTAACAGCAGTGCCGAGCGGTACTCGCATTGGCGGTATTGTGTTATTTCTTTACTTTTTGCGTCATAAAAGCTATTCCAAATGTTTAACAATAATTTTGATAAACATTTAATCAGATCAGATTAGAACATTCCATTGCATTGACAAATATCATGCGCTATTATACAAGCGCATATTCCAGCGCTATTTTTTTCGGAATTGCAATACCATCGATTACATCTCTCAATTGCAGGATCTATATCGAGCGCAGGATCTTCCACCTTGCGAGAAGCGAGCGACACGATCAACGGAGAGACCTGCGTCGAACAGCAGACGCCGTCGACGACAGGTATTCCATCTCTTTCGATGAATCCTATAAAAAGGGTCCCGAACACTGTCGATTACGATCGATGCGACTGCAAGCCTCTCGCATACGTTTCATTACTGTCGTACGCGCAGTACGAAAACAGCTGACCGCTACCACAGTTGGATCGAGCCATTGTCTATAGATCACTGCCAACAATTTCTCTCAGTGACAACAGTTGCTCTCTCCTTTTATTGCTCGTAGTTTTTCGCGCGATTTGCATCGTCTTCACTTTCATTCCCCTTTATAGTGAGGCTTGCAACTTAAACAGTTTAGCGTTTTCCTTTCGTTTACGAACAAGAATTCCTTCTCGTCGACGGACGATTATATCGTTCTCCCTTTTCCATCTGAGAAAAAATTCCTTTATTAATCGCATATATCATTTAAGGCGTCATGTGTTTAAAAGGCATAAGAGTCGTTTGCATCTTTCTGATCGGTCGTATGATTGACACATTGATCATTACGTTGCTTCCATTGCTAGCTAGGGAACGGAGGTAAGCGGACCGATTCTAAAACTCAATCAATTCTGACACGATCTATGATATATAAATATATATATATATATCCTGCTGGTGTGTGTCCCTCTCACGCTTATCACTTTTTTCGTAATTTTGATCATATCTCTTCCTATTTCTTCCGTCGCCCACCACGATCTTCGTCCACTTCTTGTTATCTCCTAAATTTACTGCCGTGAAACAAGATTGGTAAAATATATACACATAATTTAGATAACAGTAAATAAAATATACGAAATAAAAAAGAAAGTATATTGAAATGATCGAAATAAAAATAATAAATACAACGATTTTTTAAAGAAAGTGTGCGCAATCTCATTTCACGGTGTTTTCTCTTAGAACACTGATATTTATTATCGTCTCCTCTATCACGTTTTATATGCAGAATCATAAGGAACTTATTACATAGCAGTATTTAGACAATGGTAATGTCCAACAGTTGGTACCCTATTGATCGTTGCGTAGTCACTCTCTACTACGTAGTTGTTTCGATGTTCTATCGCTTTCTCTTTTATTCGAAAGCACGAAACTAACTGTCGCTGATTGTTTTTACAGTTAGCATAACAACAACATCTATCAATATCGACAATTCTGTATCAACACACTCAATTTTAGCAATCTTCGTAACTCGAAGATACATTTAATACTTTAATTTTAATTGATTAATACAGATATCATCAAAATTCTTCATCTTGGAATTCTTTGTCTTGCTATCGCTTCTGATAATCTTTTTATAACATGATATACACAAATACTACATATATTTTTTTCTGGTCAAAGCAACATCGTACAGATATTTAGAGAAAATTTTATATAACTATCATCGTGCATACCGTCAATACCTGTACATAATATTTCGTCACATTGGAGTTCTCATTCACTGCAGTTATTTTTTACCGTACTAAATTACATTTATATTATAAGATTAACATATGGAAATAAACTTATTTCCAGACTCGCAATATATTTCAAAGTACATATACCGAAAAATATACGAAGTTCGTTGCAGAGTCCCATAAATGATTTTCATGAGCTTCTAAATTATAATTTTAGGACAACGTCATTTTCAAATATAAAACGGCAAAATCATTAAGACTACAGGTACATGACACTTCATCGCATCATATTTACATGATAATTAATCGATGTTTCCAATACTCTAACTCAAAAATGTGCAACATCGGCGTGATGTACGATCGTGAGCAACATATTGGCGTGATTATCTATATCGTGGTGTGGTCTGTCTTACTTGTTATCCTTCCCCTCATATTAGACGTTCGATGTGGCATGTTTCAGATAGATTCCAACCATCTTCTACTAGCGATGAACGTAACCATGTTAAACTTCATCCTATCTTACCTCATCAAAAGGCGCCAAAGCTGCGCTTTGTCTCTTCCGTAGAGTTTAGAAACTCATCAGGTAAATCCCTCAATCCCTGCTTAACTATACACGATATACTTATTGTCATATCCTTCTGAAGACCCTATTTTCTCCTTCCGAAATGGTATGGTATTCAATTATATTATTGCGAAAATAGATGAATTATACAAACTTATAGAAATTGTTTCTGTGAAGTGGAATTTTTAATCTCTAAAATTTTAAAAGTTCAAAAAATATTTTGATTACATCGATCAAATGTTTGATTTTGAAGATATGATTTAAAAACTTATAGCTTTACAGAATATATATTTCTATTCATTCCTTCAAATTCATCTATTTTTCGTAATAACACCGACGTATTGCATAAACGCAATCCACTTTTCGCTAATATCATTACTGCATTTTTGTACAGATGATTTTGGACAGGAATTTACGCGAAAAATGCAAGATTGTAATAAAGATTTCTTTTATTTTTTACATTTATCTTATTTGCATTAAATTCGATTATATTGTATATTTGCACATTGCACAGCACAATTATTTTTGATCGATATATTAAATAAATCAGCCTCATATTGATAATTACTTAGGAATTAAAATAAATAGAAACAGATTCGTAGTTTAGATAGTCTATGCAAATTTAATTGGGCTATTGCATGGGATAAAATATTATATATATATATCTTTATTAAATTTTATAAATTATGGTAAATTTCAAATATATATAGTTTATTAAAAAAAGACAACAAAACAGATTACACGCATTGCTATTTATATACATCACAGTGTTTATACCTTTGTAGTTTACAACCAGACAAATTTAATTGGGCTATTGCATATGATAAAATATTATATATATATATATATATCTTTATTAAATTTTATAAATTATGGTAAATTTCAAATATATATAGTTTATTAAAAAAAGACAACAAAACAGATTACACGCATTGCTATTTATATACATCACAGTGTTTATACCTTTGTAGTTTACAACCAGAGTTTAGTATTCTTCAATTCTTTTTCAGAAAATAGAAGTTGCTTATTATACTGCTGGAATGATCTAAAAAGAAAAACATTATGTGATAAGCATTTTCGTATTTCTTTTTTCAAATCTTATCAATTCTATAAATTTGTAAGATGCTTTTTAAACAATTCTTTCTGTATAATATCTGTTCATCAATGTTTAATGGACGTGTAACACTTGTTTATATGTAATTGTACAATTGATATCTTCTGTCTTGTAATATATTCTCTCACATTGTTGCTTTCTTTGCATAAAAGGATATTAGAAACAATTGCTTCGTGTGTTTTGTTCACAAATACAATCTTGCATGCATGTAATAAATACATACACACATGTTCTCTCTCTGTAGGAATATTAATATGTCTCAATCTTCAACATGCAATTCACATGCGGTATCATATTGTATTATATATGCAGGAGATGTCTTGCCATCACAATATCAACCTTTATAAAACGTTTTGTGCATAGTAATAATTTATGATCGGTATATATCTGACTTTCAGTCATGCATTTACGAGCATGGAATATTTCATTTTCATAAAAATATGAACTATATTCGCTATATATCAAAATGCCAATGTTTTGTTTTAGAACAATGATTAAACAATCTCTTGATTGTTCACCAAGAATGCACCTTATAATTCTGAATTTTAAAATTTTTATCGCCACATACATCTAAGAATATTTGAATTCAAAAGTAATATAGTATATTTCTATATATAATTTTGTAAAGGAAATTTTATTAGATATAGTGTCATATGTTTCATCGAGCACAGAACGCAGGTATAACGTACTTCCTGCGCGCTTCGAAAACAATTTAAAATTGTGAATACACTTTGAAAGAGGAGCATGAGTAGATGGAGCGTAGAGTAGAATCTGTGAATAAGACAGTAGACGCGACATGATCATCGACTATCCCGCCAGGAGAGACAGTGACGAGCCAACTAAGTCCGAGCAGTTTGATCGAAGACGGTTCTGGAGAATTCCATACCGACAGGCCTCGCTTACAACGTTCTATGGGACAAAGCAAGAAGACCTTCCGCTTAAGAAAAAGTCGAAAGAGTCACATTGAGGTGACAAAATTTATATATTTTTTATATAAAGATATGAAAAACTAGAATAAAATTATCCATTAAAAATATAAAAACGTAGCGCGCTTGCGTTTGTATTTTTATATCAATATATCATTATTATGTTACTAAATCTATTAACTTTACACGGATTATTTATTTTACAATTTAATTACTTATAGATTGTTAAACTTTAAATTTATCTTCGCAAAAATATGCGATACTATTTTTCAGATGACTCAGACAAAATCCGAACAGCAGGATGCAACTCTTATCGAGGAAACCGCGAGCCAGACGAAATCATTCGTGCAAGCATCATCAGCATCAGCAGTGGATCCGCCGTTATCTAACATTCCATCCGATTCTTCATCTATTCGTTCTAGGCGAAGTCTATCTGTTCGCAAATCGGACGGAGATAAAAGTACCAGCGTACCAACGGACCAGCAGCAATTTCACGTAGCGACTCACCAGCATCATCATTGTCACTATTATCATCACCATCTGCATCCTCAGGTGTCGGACGTTTCCTGGGACGAAGATACGTCCAGCACTTCCGGATATCGTGAATCGTACAGCTTGCAGCTCATGTCCTTGGACGGTACTAATCGGTCGGCTCAAGCGCCGCCTTTAGCGTCGCCGGATCTCAACGATATGCCATCCACAAGCAGCACGACCACTAATTATATAGCTTTCGACGGCAGCTCCCCGGATTGTTCGATCAACGGAAGTGGAGGCGAGAAAACCGCTCTGCTAACTTCGAGTCAGAGAACGACGTCCCAACATTCCTTATTGATGGTTTTTCCAAATCAAGATGAGGATACATTAATATAAGCAGTAAAATATATATCTTTTGATTGAGACTGATAATTTAACAGAATCAACAAAGATCAAGATTTTTTTTCTTTTTAAAAAACAGAGATAATTTGTAAAATGAGATGCTTAAATGTTGAAATTAATATGTGAAATATTATATATTCAGCTTATCATTTTTTACTTTTTAATTTGTTTGTGACCAATGGGATGTATGTGTCCTGTTGTTATTTGGCATAAAAATGTTTTTATATAAATATCATTTATTTTGCTCTATTATGTGTAAATTGTGAACCATGTGAAGTATAGTATATATATGTATATCTCAAAGCCCCATGTATTACATCAAAGTGAAATTTTGTGAAGCATATATACGCACTATTAATTATAGTTTTTGTATTATATTGAAAGTAGAGAGCTGATGTATTATATAATAAATTTTGATTCGATAATCTTTTAACAAACTCTTTAAACAAGGAGATTAAATAAAAGATGATTCGGAAAATTTTGTTCATATGCATTGTATTTTGACGCTTTGAAAGATTTTAAACTGCATTATAGATTACCTAATTATTTATATTCTGCGATTGTATATATAGATATATTTGAAATAAAAACGGTTTCTCTCTATAAACATTCGATCATAATCATATACACATACACATTTAGATAATTTTATTAAGATAATTCAGCTGTGTAATTGTGTCGTGGTAGATCAGCGCTGATATCTGCCAGAACGAATGATACCGCTGCAAATATGGCTGTATTCATATCCAGGGCTTCCGGATTTTCCACCAGCATGGTGTCTGCATTCGTATGATGATAGTAGAAGTATTTTCCGTTTCGTGTCCAAAGACTGGCACCTGGTACGCCAGCTTTTATCCAGTAATCAATATCAGGCCCCTGGCAGGGGCTCCTCAATTTCATCTGACCCATCGGAGCCAACAATCTAGAAATGTGAAAAATTTTATGCATTTGTATTTCATAATAAATAATATTTTTAAAATTATTTTTAAAAACTAATAAACTTGTAAAATTTTGAATAATACTTTGAAGTGAGATAAATGAAAGATCACTGGATTTATTCGAGCCAAAAATTTAGATTATAAGAACGAACGTTCAAATCGGACGGAAATAAAGCGTGAAAATATTATAATAGTATAAAATTTATGGAGAAACTGACTGCATTATTCTCTGAAGTATACATTTAACTAAATTGTTTCCAGTGAATTCGAGGCCCTTCGGGAAGAATGTGCCCATGTCGGATTCCATTACGAATTGCAAATTTTCATTCTGTGCTGTGTGTCTTTGTATATATTGACGAGCTCCGATAATGCCAAGTTCTTCGCAAGTCCACATTATCATTCTGCGTAATATGTAAATAGCTTATTATGTAACAAAATACTTATCCGTAATAGACAGTAAAATATTGTCTTTATCACTGTTTTTTAAACAATACGAGACATGTAATATATGAATGTTCTTAAAGATATTTATAACATAAAGAAAATATAATTAGACAAAATTGTAATGTGTTTTAGAAAGAAAGTAATTTGTAAAAATAGCTTATTATGTAACAAAATATTTATCAGTAATAGACACTAAAATATTGTCTTTATCATTGTTTTTTATAATAAACAATACGAGACAGGAAAAATATGAATGTTCTTAAAGATATTGATGACATGGAAAAAATGTAATTAGACAAAATTGTAATGTGTTTTAGAAAGAGAAAGCACATATCTTTCAAATATAAAATTATTTTCTGAATATAAAATCGTAATAAACGGATTTTGAGGTCAGAGATTCACATTTTCTCTATTCATGACTTTGATTAGCATTGAATGAACTAGAGTCACACGCATACACGTATTCGTTTAAATATATGTATATTGCATACTAAAAAGATATACTTCTACGTATTAAAAAAAAAGAAACTTGTTAATCTCTCTCTAAAAAGTTTTTCTCGCCCGTTTTGCATAGAAAAGAGTAAATATATTCGAAAGATATATCTTTTCTAAAACACTTCAATTTTGTTTAATAAGATTTTTGTGATATTATCTAATTTTGAAAATATTTGTTCCGCTTTATGTGCTGTATATTTTAAATCACCTTATTGTTCTTCGCGCCCGAATCCCGAGATGTTTTAATAATTTTAAAGCATTCCAAGATATAAAACTGCCGCCTCCATCGTCCATTGCACCTTGTCCAACATCCCAACTGTCTATATGTCCAGAAACGACGACTGTTTTTTCAGGATTGCTAAAGCCGGTGATATCTGCTATAACGTTGCGTGACTGCGTATCAGGATATCTTCTCGCTTGCATTTTCAGATTTATTACTATTTCTTCACCTAAATAAAAAATTAAAATATTAGTTTATATATAATCTATTGTATTATCAATTGTCTAAAATTAAAAAACTTTTTTCCGTTACCTCGATCCGCCATTCTTCGTAAAAGACTCGCATCTTCGATAGTTATGCAAGCAGCTGGGATTTTAGTAACATTCTCTCCATAGCTCAACACACCGGTATGCGGAGTATACAACGAATATGGTGTTACCGATCGGATCAAAACAGCCACTGCTCCCAATTCTGCTGCCTTCGTGGCACCCGCACTTCTATATTCCACAGTTTCCTCGTACGAGACAAATTTTTCATTGTACACGACAATTTTCCCTGGAACCTGATATAACCGAAAATGACTGTATTATAATCGCGTATATGTATAAAAATACGTATTATATCGTCTCTTTTTATTTATTCAATCTACCTCTTTCGCCCTTTCTTTAAGTTCTACAAAACTATTCACCACCACAGCGTTAGCAGTTATACCATCTTCTGGAGTACTGATACTGTAACCTAGTCCTAATAACGCCAAATTTTTTATTCTTGGTTGCAATAGAGTTGCAGATTCTGAACCCCTGAAAATTTTATTATAATAAAATTTGTATTATAATAATCATATTTTTTTCTTACTATTATTTTGAGATAATTAGAGTGTTATATATCTAATCATTTCTAAAACAAGGGAATCTGGTTCTGCGTTATGAAAGAAACCAAGACGTCAAATATGAGTTAAAGCGCATTACTTGAGGCACACAAACAAATATATAATATTATACAGAAAATTCTTCTTTCATATAAAAATTGAACGTTTTAGATACTCTTCAGAAGTCTTCAAAGTATCATAAAAAATCAACATACTAAATAATAATAATTTATAATTTTAATTTAAAGCGTTTTAAAGTTTTATACCTGACCCAACGTGGTACAGTAGCTGGTTCACCATGTACATTATCTAAACCTAAACTAGTCGATTTGTTGAGCACATAATCGATAGCATCCTCGAGTGTTTGGGTACCACTGAACCTTGGACCAAATTTATCAACAAAATTCGCCAAATCTTGCCATGTGTTTCCTTTGAAAGAACCTTGCGTAGCCTCATAGATTATACCTTGCACTATGGGCGCGTAGGAGTCTATTTCTTCGATTAAAGTATTCGGCAAATCACAAGTATGATGTTTTTTCTCGATATTACTTGACATTATCATTGTCCGGATGCATAGCAGCCAGACAAAGATAATGCTTTTTCCTGTGCACCACATTATTACTGAAATTTGGTTTTTCCTGCAATATGTAAATGCCGTGTTCAATATTATACATATAGAAATTAAAAATTAAACAAGTTAAACATTAGAATCAAAAAATTTTAATTAAAATTAAATATAGTTATATTTAAAATTTGATTCATTTTCTCAAATATATTATGTCATGTCTTTAAAATAAAAATGTAATTAAAAAATTAGAGATGTTGTTAATAATATGTTACGTTCTAATTAATACGATTAATATACCAAGTTAAGTTTTGCAAATTAAAATATAACTTTGGCGTTTGATATATTAATCGGTATTGTACAGATTTTTACTTTGTAAAATAATTTTAAAAAATAATTGTTAAAAATTTGATATTAAATTATGAAAAAAATTACATATTAAACAACAATTAAAAAGGGCACAAAAAACAATTAACGGATGTTCATATAACATAAAGTTAAATTTAAAAAAAGAAAAAAACGAACCATGTGACAAAATTTAATAAATTAAAGAACAAAAAATATTTGTATAATTCAAGATCTATTAACAATTAACTTATATATAATATCTTTTGTTCTTTTATTTATTAATAGCGTTTTCGAGTGAAGCAAATTTGATGTCATAAATACTGTTTTGCGTTATAAAGATATACTTATTTATATTCATCAAATTCAAAATTTATTTTTGATCGATTGGGTTTAATTACTCTCAGAGCAATCAAACCTTGCTTCACTTGAAAACGTTATAAATTTTGTTGCGTAATTTTTGTTTTTTAGATTTGACTTTATGTTACGAACATCCATTTAATTGCTCCTTGCGCTCTTTTTAATTGTTGTTTATTATCTCTAGAATCTTTTTATTATTTTAAATTTATATATTTTAATTTTTAATAAAATATTCTTACCGTAATACCGTCGCTCAATATGTACGTGAAAATTATACACTCATAACAAAATATTGCATAAAGAGGAGTGTTCTCTCTCTGCGCAACGCAATAAAATGATACTAATCCGCCGACGTCTAGATGGATTCTAATGATAGCTCGAACAAGTTGCTGGATATATGTATGTATAAAGCAGTTAAAACAGGTTCCGTGATTACCTTCATAACAAAGATTGTGGGGGGAATCATACTTCATTTTATTAAATGTACAAAGTTTTGAAACATATTTGATGCCTAAATATTATAACCTTAGTGTAATTAAAAATTGTAATATGTCTGTAAATATGTAAATTAGTTTTGATTTATGTAAATTAGTATAAATGTGTGTGTGTGTAAAACAATATTGATATTAATTTTTATATTTTATAAAATAAGCTTAAGGTATAGCTAGTTTCTCGAATAAACCTTATCGAATAATATATCAAACTGAGAAGTTTATAAACATTAAATTTTCAGAGTTTCAATAGAGTTTTAATATGCATCATCAGTGTTTGTAGAGTAAGAATCTCAAGAAAGTTCTTCTCTGAAAAGTTACTTTATCAGACTATGGTTATAACGGTTGCCACACAAAAGTAGCAAGAAAAAAAGTTTCTTCTTTCTAATAGTTAAAAATATATTCTCTCTTTTTTTCAGACATATAAATATATACTTTACAAACAAATTTTAATATGTATAAAGTTAAAATACAAAAATAACGTTGATTTATCTTACGATTAATATTGACTAAAGTTCAATGTAGTTGTAGTAATTTCCGCTCCAATGTTTGGTTGAACGAAGCCTTTCTAATATACTCGTAATTTCTGTTCCAAACTGTGACTACTTGTTCTCACAACAGTATGACTTGAGGTTTTTGACAGGTTGTTGCACATAACGTGATAGTTGTACAATAATACAAACATATCCGTAAAGTGAAGGCTGCAAAGATCAAAGATAAAAGAAGTTATCATTTATTACGACAAAAGTGAATGCGATTGAGTTTGTAGTTTCACGTGTAAAGCAGATTTTATTGCAATTTCGACGATATGTCTGATTATTTCGAGGAAATGGGTTGGACGCCTTTAGATGACGGAGAGACGCCGAATCATCTGATTCAAATGGCACGTTTTTTGCGAGATTATGGCATGTGGGAATTACTCGGAGAGGACACAAAACTTCCACCGCCAGCGTCAAAAAATGCGGTGGAAACTTTGCCGGAGATTAAGATTGAATCCAGTCAAACTAAACAGTGTCCAGTTTGCTTGAAAGAGTTCGAGGCGAACGATAAAGCGAAATCGATGCCCTGTCATCACGCGTTTCATCATGACTGTATCGTACCTTGGTTAGAAAAGGTGTGACTAGTTCTGTGATATAAGAATAGCTAACATATAAAAAGACAATTGTGTATTACGTATAAAAATTAAACAAATAAAAAATTAAGCATATTTAATATATAAATATAAGTGTTTGTTGCGCGTATTGTTTCATATTTAAAATTATGTAAATTTTCAGACCAATTCGTGTCCACTCTGCCGATACGAGTTGCCGACAGACGATGAAGAATATGAAATGTACAGGAAGGAAAAGAAGCGAGCGGTAGAGAGGGAGAAAGACTTGGAATCTCTACATAATTCTATGTTTACGTAGGAAATATATTATATAACTTTCTAAAGAAAAATTATCTTTTATCTTGTATATTGTGTAAGTTGTCATTATATTAAAAATATCATTCATCACAGCAAGCGCCTTGTATTACTGACAGTTGGGAAAGTAGATTAAAATATCAACAGTAATATACACAATCAATGTACATTTGTATATTAAAAAAAGTTATACTTACCCTTTATTAATATAAAGAAAATGTTTTATAATTGAAAAATGTATAAAAAAACATATAAATAATGTATAATAAAATTATATAATTATATTCATTTGTGATATGTGACATAATTTGTTGATTGAATAAAGAGACATGAATTATTAATAGGAAATAATGTTTATTATACAGTGTACATATTTATTAACTTCATTTATTTTATTTCTGTTATAAATTTTATATTAATAATTGTATTATGCTTTTTTTGCCGAGCGACGAATGCCTTGATCAGTGTGCGCTTAGACTATAACAATCTCCGTAAAAAGTATAGAAACTTCTGATTTTTATTTTGTTCGTTTGTTTTATTCTTTTATTCCTCTTTCGCTCCCTCTCTCCGGTTTTTCCATCCTCTTTCGCTCTCTTTCTCGCTTTTTCTCTCTCGCTCTCTCTCTCTCTTTCTCTCTCTCGCTCTCGCTCTGTCTCTCTCTCACCGTAACGCGATCGCTATCATGTGAACCATACCACCAAAGAGAATTGCCAAAATATGTTGCGCTGAAAACGGCATAATCGTTCGGCATATACAAATAATAGTACTGTCGAAGTTAAAGTAATTGGCGGTTTATTCATTATCTTTTTTTTTTCACTCTCGTGTCGGTGACGTCATTCCGAAAAAAATGACACACCGCCGCCATCGCGCCCACGTGGACACGACCCTTTCGTAGTTTTCCCCCCTCCCCCTTTCCCACCCCTTCCCCCCTCGCAATATTTCACCCTAGGGGGGATTAGTATCTGTTATCAATTATTTATATATAATATGCGTAATAATATAAATAATGTCGTTAATATATACCTATGATGATTACCGTTTCTTTAATGATAAACTATCTGAATGGTACACTTCTCTGCTAATGGCCATGTCCGTAATAGCTAGTTATGTAATCTGTATGCGAGCTTCAAGTGTGTGGGATAAGGTACGTCGTACAGAGAACTTTCGGCTCGGCGTTCACGTAAGACAAAAACGAACGGAGAAACAAATCATCAAATTTACGTTTCGAATACGGGAACACGTCCGTGGCGCGAAAATATGCGAACGTCGGGAAACCCTTTTTCGTCCTTTCTCGATACTGGTCAAGTTCGACATGATATTACTTCGACAGAATTTGCCTTGGTTCAATATCGCCACGAAAAATATGTCCACGAGAGAAACGAAACGCGAAATCTAACAAAGTAATGCAATAGTGTACATGTCTTTAAATATACAAGGGAGAGAGATTTATGTAACTCGAGATAAAGTGTTTAAGCGTTTCTCGTAGATACTTGACCATTTCGTGTCCTATAATTTTTGACGAGATGCGCGTATCCACGACGTTCGCTAAAAAATGCTAGTCCTTTATATACGTCCCCGTGATTTATCTTGATATAGAAATGTGTACGACGTTAATTCATGTCACTTAGACTTTTCTCGTCGAACGCGTGGGTTACTCCATTTTCTCGCTTGCATCAAATGTATGTATCTAGCTTCCTAACGTAAGTGTTAAGTGTAATTACTTTTATTTATTTATATATATATATATATATACTGCATTAGCTTCTTCTCCTCGTTATAATAATCATCGTCATTCCATAATAATCATAATCAATAACCATAATAATAGCAATAATAATAATATTAACCATCATCATCGTCGCGATCATAAGTCTCGATGATGCTGTTAATTCGTCCATATTGATATATTATATATTATATTTTATATTACACGTTCCTTATGAAAATAATAATTCAAAATGGCATATCTTCCGTTCGCGCGCTATTCCCATCCCTGCGTCGCGCCCCTCGCACCATCATCCCTCACCCCTCCTCTCTCGCCCTCGATATTAGAGTGACTTTTATAAATAACTATTTATTTTTTACACTCGTCGGTAGAATTTCTCGACGTTCGCTGAGTCGTGAGAATAATATATTGTAACTTTGCATTACACACATGCTTCGTAACGTTCATCACGATTCTTATCGTGCCGCTCGCGCGACGAAAAATTCTGCCGATAAAAGCCTCAGTGAAGCTTTGGAGACTTCGATCTAACGTAAGCGTTCCTTTCGCTCCTCATTACGCAAGTACACTTTGTTTTCACATATATTTGCGCACGCGATACTATCCGCCGTGTAGACGCCATGGGTCGTTCGATGCTACCGATACTGCAGTATAAATCGTTGATGCAGCAATATGTTTTCTATATGCAAATTCATCTGTTAATTTACTTTACATGCTGTCGCGTGTGATATTCATATTCTTGCGTTCAATTATTCTCTAGGCTCATTTCTGCGCTTTCATAACTTTATGCGCAAATTGCATAGACGACGTATTGCTGATCCGACACTGATATTTTGCATTAGTGTAATTTCTAATATATTGTTCCTCTTTTATTACAGAGCAAGCTGATGTAATCGCAATGCGTCTACTATTGATAACAATCATCGACATATGTAATTCAGCAGCATCGACAGCATCGCAACCGATGAAGGAACGTTTGATACAACATCTCTCGCTTCTCCGAAACAATCGTGAGCCATCATACGTTCATTCAATGCTTCTCTCTCGTTTTTACTCTCTAAACGCATACACATACTACTTGTAATATTATTATCACGCGTGGTCTTATTGTTCCGCGCGCCTCTCTAAGCTCAACACGCTGATATGCTAATAAACGCTCTGTTGCATCTCGTACTACCGATTTTATCGATTATTTTTCATCTACGTGGCATCGATGGTTTGCCCTCTCGGCATACGCTCGCAATCAGATCGAATTCACTATGTTTTATAAATGAGTTGTCGCTTTTCTTTCAACCTATGCACATATTTTATTATAAAGTTTCACTAAATTCTTTTATGCTCAAGATCCAGTGTAGTTCCTTAATTATCACGAATAAATAATTACAATAATTGCCATTAGCTGGTGACATCAGTAATATAGTGGCAATAACGACAGTTGCACTAATATAATAATGATAATAATAATACATAATAATAATAAAACAATAATAATAATCTTAATAATATAGTAATAAATCAACCATCTCTTATCGAAATTCAATCCATAAATTTTGCACATTTTGCTCCATTATAACGCTTTATTGTATTATAAATGTTAATACTGTTTCACAATAAACATAATTATTCTAATGCTGCCTTCATAGCTAAAAGTAAACAAAAAAATTCGATTATAAACCTATCGTTTTATAGCAAAACATATCATCGTATTAAAATAGAAAATTAATGTATAGTTGTACGTATGAAACTTATAAATATAGCGTATCTTTATACTTGTCGGAAAAACGTTAAAACAATCAAACAAAAAAAATAGAACAAAAATACCCCTACTAAGTAGTCAGTTAAACTATTAATGCACATCCCCTGCATTGTTATCAGCAAGATTCATTCTTAAAGAGTAGAAATAAAAAAGATCCAACTTGAATCTAATTTAGGAACGAACCTAAATACAATCTCATCACTTTTTCTCCATTCGTTGATGCAGCAATATGTTTTCTATATGCAAATTCATCTGTTAATTTACTTTACATGCTGTCGCGTGTGATATTCATATTCTTGCGTTCAATTATTCTCTAGGCTCATTTCTGCGCTTTCATAACTTTATGCGCAAATTGCATAAACGACGTATTGCTGATCCGACACTGATATTTTGCATTAGTGTAATTTCTAATATATTGTTCCTCTTTTATTACAGAGCAAGCTGATGTAATCGCAATGCGTCTACTATTGATAACAATCATCGACATATGTAATTCAGCAGCATCGACAGCATCGCAACCGATGAAGGAACGTTTGATACAACATCTCTCGCTTCTCCGAAACAATCGTGAGCCATCATACGTTCATTCAATGCTTCTCTCTCGTTTTTACTCTCTAAACGCATACACATACTACTTGTAATATTATTATCACGCGTGGTCTTATTGTTCCGCGCGCCTCTCTAAGCTCAACACGCTGATATGCTAATAAACGCTCTGTTGCATCTCGTACTACCGATTTTATCGATTATTTTTCATCTACGTGGCATCGATGGTTTGCCCTCTCGGCATACGCTCGCAATCAGATCGAATTCACTATGTTTTATAAATGAGTTGTCGCTTTTCTTTCAACCTATGCACATATTTTATTATAAAGTTTCACTAAATTCTTTTATGCTCAAGATCCAGTGTAGTTCCTTAATTATCACGAATAAATAATTACAATAATTGCCATTAGCTGGTGACATCAGTAATATAGTGGCAATAACGACAGTTGCACTAATATAATAATGATAATAATAATACATAATAATAATAAAACAATAATAATAATCTTAATAATATAGTAATAAATCAACCATCTCTTATCGAAATTCAATCCATAAATTTTGCACATTTTGCTCCATTATAACGCTTTATTGTATTATAAATGTTAATACTGTTTCACAATAAACATAATTATTCTAATGCTGCCTTCATAGCTAAAAGTAAACAAAAAAATTCGATTATAAACCTATCGTTTTATAGCAAAACATATCATCGTATTAAAATAGAAAATTAATGTATAGTTGTACGTATGAAACTTATAAATATAGCGTATCTTTATACTTGTCGGAAAAACGTTAAAACAATCAAACAAAAAAAATAGAACAAAAATACCCCTACTAAGTAGTCAGTTAAACTATTAATGCACATCCCCTGCATTGTTATCAGCAAGATTCATTCTTAAAGAATAGAAATAAAAAAGATCCAACTTGAATCTAATTTAGGAACGAACCTAAATACAATCTCATCACTTTTTCTCCATTCTCTCTCTCTCTCTCTCTCTCTCTCTTCCTCTCTCACACCGTGTCATGCCTTTTGTTCCGTTTCGTCATCATAAAAATGCGAGCGTAGCGATCGTAAATCGTCAATTAATATGCAACGGTCTCTTTCGTTCCGAGGGTCATACCTTGCGAGGGCGAGATTCGTCGTGAAGGGGAAAAGGGGCGAAGCTCCTCCATTATCATGCGCTCGGCCTGCTGCGAACGTCTTATTATTTTCATGCACTATCATAGTTAGTATTTCCGCTATATAGGACATTACGTGTGCACCGGCATGTACGTACACCCTGTGCTATGTTGCAGTTCCTCTATGTACAGATATCTTCCTCCGACGCGTTGCGGCGAGTGTCGTGGTGCGTTTTCAGGATCACCGACGAAACGATTCCTTGATTTCCCCTCTTCCCACTCCCCCTCCTCCACCTCTCTCTTCGGTTTTAATTACCCGAAGAGAAAAGCGCATTTGATCGTCATTAATCGCTCTCGGCGATCCTGACCGCCCCGAGAGTCGCCCCGGTCTGGTCGGGGAAAAACTCACATTATATATCGGTGTTTGATTATACTACGCAACGTTCTCTCGGGTTCCGGGCGCGAAAGCGCAAACCCGGGACCGCCGATTACAAAATTTTATTGTATGCCACGCCGAAATCAACAATAAAACTGATTTCATCTCTTACGACCTGTATAATATCTTTCTCCCTCAAGGCTCGAGAATACTTGTCATGTCGCGCTCAAGTATGTGTATGTGTGTAAATGAGCGTGTATGTATGAGTTATGCGCGTATTTTTATCAAGTTTATATTAAGTTCGTATTATGCGTGTATATTCGTCTTTATGTTAT